AGAGTGTGGCGAGGGAGAGAGTGGGAGAGAGGGAGTGAGAGAGAGGGAGAGAGAGAGAGAGCGAGAGAGATAGAATGAGAGAGAGATCAAGAGAGGGAGATAGAGAGGGAGAGAGGGAGAGAAAGAGAGAGGGAGGGAGAGAGAGAGAGAGAGAGAGAGAGAGAGAGAGAGAGAGGAGAGAGAGAGAGAGAGAGAGAGAGAGAGAGAGAGAGAGAGAGAGAGAGAGAGAGAGAGAGAGAGAGAGGGATGTTGAGAATAGCCCTGATCCTGCGAAGGTTGCAGAAGTCTGTGGAAGTGGCATATCAACGAAGTCTACGGACACGAGCCCTGCTGAAAGGCCCATCGACGAAGAGCAGATTTGTCGACAAGGCGAGTCTCTGCGGGAAGTGGCAGAGGAGCAGTTTTTGTTGGTGGCAGAAAAGCGGTTCTGTCAGAGTGGCAGAACAAGGAGCGCCTTTTTTCAGATGGCTTCTACAGACTTCTGTGCTTTTATAGAAGCGATCTTGGCCCGAGAGTGTACAAGACCCTCTGCCGATTTTGCCCCAGGGACCATTCGTAGAAGGGTTGTCCTCTGCAGAAGTATCGCGCAGAAGACATTTCTGCGGGCGACCCTTTCGGCAGAAGCGACTCTGCAGAAATGCGTTCCAACAGGACTTCGGGCAGAGTGGCACAAGGACCTGCTCGCACAGAATTGCGTTCTACCGAAGTTCGGCAGAAATGCAATTCGGCTATCTCTTCTGTTGACAACCCCCTTTGCAGATACGAAATTCGGCAGAAGTGCTGCAGAGAGTCATCTCGGACTTTGGTTCTGCGAGCGACCCCTCGACAGAAAATCAGGGACTTCGTTTTTCTGTGGAAGGTGGCATTCCGAAATCGCGAGAAATTTGCGATTTCGTAAGAAACCACAGAACCGATATGGACCGAAAACGGCAGAATCTACCTGCGACATTGAGAAATTGAACACGTGACGCACATTTCGTAACTGCGGAAATGTGCATAACATCTGACGGTTTCATATCTGAAACTATTAAAACAACTACTTCTCAGTGGGTAAAAATTACAGACTAAGCATGTGCTGTAATTTTCACCTGCCATTGCTGACTTGGCTAAGCGCGGCTTAAAGAAGTTATGCAAACGTTCTTGTGCCAACGTTCTCACCGTGTTCAATAAGGTTCAATGGGGTAGTACTAGTGTTTGCCTTGTGTACAATACTTTGTAATCTTGACTCTAGTGAATTTGTGTGCCCAAGCTTTCTCAAAAGCTACTCTGTAAAACACACAATTCTGAAGGCAACTTTCTCCTTAGAGAACGAGAGGGCTAGAGAGCTCTATCTGCGTCAGGAACTTCCGCAGAAGCTCCCGTTATAGCAGTTAACTCTGCAAGGGAGAGCAGGTGAGAGGGAGAGAGAGGGTGGGAGGATGGGAGAGGGAGAGAGAGAGGGTGGGTGTACTCAATGCGTGTGCATGAGCAGGCTGGCAGGGCTTAGCAATTCCAGAAGTGGGAAAGAAGATGGGCGCAGGGGCAAGGTGGTAACAGAATGAGGGAGGAGAGGTGTGGGGTGCCAAGCTGGTTTGTGTTCCTTTGAGAGCCGAAAATCAGGCTCCTCAACAGGCGGCCAACAGTGTTTGCGTGAGGAGGAGTGGCTTTGAGAATCAGCCGTTGGCGGCAGCGTGTGTGGGGGACAGAAGAGGTGCATGTTCAAGAAATTCCGCTCCTGCTGCGGCGCCCAAGCTGGCGGAATCCGGGGTGTGCCTGAGTAGGACAAGGTTCAACAAGCAGTGTTGAGTGACAATGTGTCAGGTGTTCAGTGGAGGTGGGGGGGGTAGGGGAAGGTGTGGGGTTGTAGGCCAGCAAGATGTGTGTCCCCCGTGAGGCTATGACCTCGCACAGGCGGCCGACGGTATCTGAGCGTTGGGGATGGCTCTCAACTAAGCTCGTGTGATCGTGTTCGTTGTAGCTGACGAGAGTGTCTCCTCTGAATGTGACTGTGAGATTGGGAGGAGGTTGCGGTGGGAGAGAGGGAGCTTGAGGGTCTGCGAGTCGGGCCCTACTTCGCGTGCCCATGCGTGGGAATGTGCCATCCTGAGCTGGAGCGCGGAGGAGGTTAGGGCCCCGCTTGAGATCGTAGGGTGATGCTTTTCACTCACCTTTTTCATTGACGACTCCTCAAAAGTGGTATCCTATTCTCGGTGTTGGGATAACGAACGGCACTCTATGAATTCTCGCTGTTGGTCGAGACTCTTCTGCCCCCTTAATCTTTCCTGTGCTCCCTATTCATTCGCTATGCCCTCTCTGCCGTCCCTTCTATTCCCAGAATCCGTAGCTCTCGTATCTACTCCTATGCAGGTCTAATGTGCGACCTGTCGGATCCTCGCGACGCGCTAAGTCCCGTCCGTGTCACGCTGTCCGTACAGCGCGACATTTCGCTTCACGATCTCTGATTCTATGTGTGCGGTATGCCATTTTTCGTTGTTTCGCGCTGTTGCCCCGTGTTCGGGGGGACGTCATGAAATTGGCACTGGGTGTCTGGGCGCTTCCCGCTTTCTGTACTTGAGGACGCACCTGTCCAAAGTGTAGCCTAGATGGCACTGGATCGTGGTGTAGAGCAGCTTTGTGGGCACATATCCTCTCCTCTTCCTTGCATGCATTAATAGCAGAGGGGGGTCTCTCTTGATAATCGAGAGGGACCCCTTGTTTCTGTTTCCCGCTCGCACCCCTACATCCCAAAAATGTGAATCGGGGTTGGGTTGGACATTTGTGACAAAGGGTTTACGAAGTCCCCCTGGACGAGGTTGAGAGGAAATGGGAATGAAGCAGGGACGAAGGCTTCGTGGGAGCAAAGTCCACATTGGCAAAGGCTTTGTCCAGAGGCCCTATGTCCCCGCTTCATCGGGCCCTCCAAACCTAAACCTATCCGCTACCGTGGCGAATTATTAGCGTTCTGTAGGTTTCCGCTTCATTCCAGCCACATCCCAACGACCATACCAAAGAAGCACGGGTTGCCTAGGCCAAGAGCAGCATGCTGGGTCGGTTGAGATTGGCCAAGGACAAATATCGTACCAGCCAATCAGAAAACACGAGAGAGGCCAAATTTCTCGTCTGTAATTGGTCAATGGAAACTCGACGCGCTTCAAAAAAATATGGGCGAAAATATGGTCGGCGAAAACTCGACGCGCTTCGGCGAAAACTCGACACGCTTCGCGAAAGGGAAAATCAGTTTGACAAACTGGGTAGGGGAGCTGTATAATTTGCGATTGTTTATGGTGACCGTAAAAGAGACGCAACACAGATTTCTTAGAAACGAGACACTTTGTATCGTACCAAAGAACGGTCGAGCCAGCAAAAATTGTGCAGCCAACTTCTGACCAATCCCCAACCACCACATCACCCCCTTATCAACCCACACCCAGAATATGTAGCCACGGAAACTCCTCACCTCATGTCTCAATTCCTTCTCATATGACCCATCATGTGCTCAGAACCCTCTTCCTCATTTCTAGACTTCGCTCTCCCACCCGCTAGTCTTCCTTCTCCATTTTCATACCACTCTGAACTCCTAGATCTAAGACTGCACTGAGTAGGAGCCGTGGCGTTTTCGTTCCTGCGTATCGGTAGTTATACCGTTCGTCGTTTTTATAGCGTTCCACAGTACAGCCCCTTTCTGCTGACTAATAACTTTGGTTTTTCTTACTTCGTTGCAGGTTCCTCATCAAGAAAATTCTTATGTCAAAAGGCAGCACCTCCGTATGGTGTACCAGCCGCGATCCTCGATCCGGGCACTATCACCATGGCGGCCTAAATGGTAAGTCTGAATGTATCCTGACTCCGTCGTTTCCCGTCCTATTTCTCTTATCAACTCACCCTCCGGTCCCGGTTTCCTGTTTGCTGGACAAGATTTTGATTGTACTACTACTGTATGCCGAAATCCGTAAGTTGAATTATGCTGTTAGAATTTCTACCTGTCTTGTCGCCTTGCATTCTCTGCCCTGTACTCAGCTGGCATGCAGGGCTCTGGAAAAGAGTGGACAGAACCCAGTCACGACCTTGATGAAGCAAATTTGAAGGCATGGTGGAAATAGCCGTTGAACGGGATCCGTTTCCATGTCACCGCTTTTATCCCGTTCTCATGATCTGTCACCTTCCCGAAATCGAGCTACGGAAGTGCTGAAATTTGTAGTTCAATTTTGTTGTATTTTTTATTTGTGCAATCAAGATGTTATATGAAAATGTAAATACAGAATTACTGCACCTAGTGTACTAGATATAAAACAACATGAATTGTGGCGGGAATGCTTCAGGTTTGAAATACTATGTCTCTGCATAGCATCAACATAGCAATGACGAAAGCACACAAAGCACATGCATAGCGCATGCTACGTCTAGCGCAACATCATAGCACGACGATCAGCATGGACAATGTAAACGCAATGCACCTCGACATTCCTCACACTAAGTAGGTGCTTTATATGAGCTTTGCATTTCGGAACTATGTTTATGCTTCACTGATGAACACGTTTAGACATAGCCTTCACGAGCATAGTAGGTGCATAGCACTTCCGCGAACGTGCGAAGCAGGTGCATAGGTTTCCGGCCCCCAATTTTTGGGACGTGGCATTTCGGTCGTCAGGCTGTGCGATGCCTGGTTGCGACTTGGGGCTGCTGAAATTTTGATGGGCGTGTGTATCACGCGCGTCCCTGGTTTCGTTTTCGTGTTGAACAAATCGGACCTCGCCAGGCACTGTTTTGTTTTGTTTCGTCTCGTCTTGTCGATGTGTTGCGAGCAGGCCCCCAAATTGCAGACTTTTTTTTGGGGTATACTCTGATTGAGAAGACTTTTTTTTGTACCTTACTCTGATTTTTCAGAGAAGATTTATGTACCTACGATGATTTTTCAGACCTTTTTTACTAGTGTACTCTGATGCCCCAACCCTATATGGGGAGTAGAATCTGAGTCCTTCTGATACCGTGATTGGGGGGGAGCATGATTTTTGCTGGTACCCCTGTGGAGGGGGCCGACTGGCACTTAGCCAAATCAGGGAGGGCGCGATTCTTGCGAGAGGCTCTGTGAGGGCGCTATACGGCCCGTGACCAAAATCAAAGGCCAATGTACAGTGGCGGAAAAAAATGCCCGGATGTCTAGCATTTTAAAACTTATCGCTATGCCACGCATGTTTTAAATGTAGTAACACCATTTTTTTCCAATCCTGTTACAAGGTTGTCGAGTTCTGTTAAAACCGTATCCTGCTTGGCGCGATTGTGACACAACCAAAAAGCGGGGTTGAGATTTACTCCTCGACAGTCGATCCGGACATTTCATACCGAGCGACAGATTAGATATATTTTCGCTCGTCACTTAGGGTACACATCGTCACGCGCAACAGTTGCTAGTCTAGGAGTTAGTCCTGAAGCGAACCTACGACCGCATCACGATGAAGCCGGTAGATGACAAGAAGCGCGCTCGTATCATAAGCATGTTGCACAATGAGCATTCGACTAGGAAAATAGCCAAAGTACTTGGCATAGGCAAGAGCACTGTGCATGATTACGGGCTGAAGTTGATTGCTGAGACTAGTCGCGATGAGATGCGACCCACGATGCCTACGGCCGGCCGCCCACGCTTAATCACAACCCGCCTCCAGCGCGGAATAGTTCGAGCGATTACCAGCAGGGAGGTGAAAAACAGTGTAGACGCCGCAAAGATGTTAGAGGAGAAGCACGCTCTGGCTGTAGACTCGAAGACCGTCAGGAACTCGTTACGATCCGCAGCCCAAGAAACCCAAGCTCTCTGTGAAAAACATACATGATCGGCTCGATTTCACGAGGTCGCATGCCGGGTGGACGATGGAGGACTAGAAGCGCGTGATTTGGTCTGATGAGACTAAGATAAACCGTTTCTGCTCCGACGGACGTGCGTACGCCTGGATTCGCGAGTGCACCAACCTCCAGAGCCATCAAGTCCAACAGACAGATAAGCATGGGGGCGGATATGTGATGGTGTGGGGTTGCATGACGTATGAGGGGGTGGGGTTCATGTGCAAGATAGATGGACGGATGGATGGGCTGCTGTATCGCAGCATCTTGCAAGATGAGCTCTCACGGCCCATCGACTTTTTCAAGCTCCCCCACTCAGAGGTCATTTTCCAGCACGACAATGATCCCAAGCACAGGTCCCGTCTAGTGCAAGACTGGCTTGGGGAGCAGGAGTATGCG